GCATATAGTAGTCTCTGTAAAGGCCTTTGAGATTTACCTCAACTGAAAGGCACAAGTGATAAAAAGCAGGTTTGACAAAAGGTCATCGACCTGAAATGCTAACTTACTTTCCTCTCTCCATAGATGCTGCCTGACCTGTTGAGCAATCCTAGTGACTTCTGTTTTTTATATAAATACAAGTTGTTGCTCCACCGTGGATATTGAAAGTGAATTATTGTAAGTTAAAGTGAAACAAGAAGCCAACAAGCAGTTTTGGTAGTTCAGTTCCTTAGCCATGTGAATCCGCAGAACTCCAGGGCACTGCTGATGATAGACCAGCCAGCCTGGCTCATTGACAGGACTTGGAATGGCAGACCTGTCACTGAGTGCAGGGACTTTTCCTACTCAGCTCCTGTTAACTCTGCAAGCCAAAGTCTTAATTTATAGGGTAGTCCTAACTGGACAAGCGACAAGAAAGCTTTCCAGATAGTATGTGGGTTTTTTAGGTGATTGGACTCCAGCAGTACCCCAACACGCATTCTGGAGTTCCAAACCTTGGATCTTGCCAATCTGTACTTAATACGCTCGGGAATAAGGTAAGCAGAATGCAACACTCCAGGGAGAGAGTGTGAATTCCATTCCAATAAATATCTGGAAAATTTCCATGTATAAGTGGAATAGGTGGAGCTCTCAATTTGTTTTGGATACTTGGCGTATAGTAACCAAATGACACCCTGCTGTATAGTGATACCATGCTGACCAAGAAAACTTTGGATTGATCATAATTCAGTTAGAAAAACCTTGCAACAACTGTGTGTTATTAATAATGTTAGTAGTAACCAAACACAGATTTAATAGACTAAATGAACTGGACAAAGATACGAAGACAACGATTAAAGCAAGCATAAAAGTTGAGATGGCTTAGAAATCTTGCATTAGGCATTTCCTTTAAATACTTGTTTGTATAAGTCGTTACATACATTCCTTTATATACTTGTTTAATACAAGTATTAAAATCAGGCTGTGGTATTACCAGAAAACACGAGAAAGCATACCTTTCGTGTTAAGTCTTACCTGCCCTGTTGGTTGATTGTGGTGGAAGCAACACTATTTAAGATGGAGGAAGAGGAGGAGGGAGAGGTGATGGCAGTTCGACTGGGTTGCTGGCCTGCAGCTGAGGTAAATGTTGCTATAGCAGTAGCTGAAGTGACTGAGGTTGTGATGGGAATGACTGAAATGGAGGAACTGTTGAATTCATCTTTTCTTCTGCCGAATGAGGCACTGGTAACAGTTGACACTTGGGTAAGAATGGATAACTGAAGGAAACTATGCTACATGCACTTAATTATTAACTATATGCTTGCAATTTGATTCCCTTTCACCCGAAGTTCATCTCCCTGCTACAAGAAAAACAGTCTAGTTCAAAGCATCTTCACAAAAAAGGTCACTGTTGCTCCTTGGTTGACCTGTCAAGAAGCACGCTCAGATAGTATAGGAGGGTAAGCTTGGCTTGCTTTCTCCTTCCATAAAACTGACCAAGGTGAGACTGAACGAATGTCACGCCAGGCTAGACTGAATATTGGGGTGAGGAATCAAATACCCCCAGAGTAGTTATTACTAGGGTGAGGGGGGAGGGGGAAAAAATCTGGAATGGAATTTCCGGCTAAGCGTAATTATACCGCTGGTACGAGCATTTATCGGCACTGAAAAATGCCGGTACCAACATTGTAATTGTTTGAATCCCGCGAGCAGAAGATACCAAATACACTATCTTCTACTCATGGGATTCAAACTAAGTCAAAGTCGATACCACTGGTACCTGAAGGTCAGCAAGAATGGTCGGGGTGGGATGTGGGGCAGTGGGCTGGCGAGAATCTGCACACAATTGGGGCCACAGATTTTTTTTGTTAATTTTCCATTTTGGGCCTAGTCCGGCTAGTTTCAAATTGGGGACACGGAGTCCACCGGGGGCCATTGTATAAAACTGTAGTAGCTGACTAGGTGCAAGTAATATAAAGGGAAAGCTCATTTGCTTCATCCAGGTTGGATGTATAATATCTTGTATGATCCCCTATGTTGTTGCTTCAGTTGATCCATGTATGTAAATGTTGTCAATCTTCTGGTAACGATTGCAAACTATTCATATTTTAAGAAACTGAAATCATAAATGTTTCGTCTCAACAAGTACACACAGATTACTTTAGATACTTTCATCAGAAAAGGCTGCTTATATAAACGGTTTAAAATATTTTATAAAGCCTTACTTAAATCTACATAATGGAAACGTGTGTTTGCTCACCTTCTCTGATAGGAAGGTAATATGTTTGTATTCGATGAGTTTAGTGAAGTGCCTCCTTCATTTCCGACATGATTTACATCCTTTAAATCATCCTTCCACTGCCGCCGGGTGTAAGAACCACTTCGTACGAGACTGGCTGCAGATTCCCTGCAAGCATAAAACGTTTCACGCAACATACAGTTTGCACTACAATTATATTATAATTTTAGGTCCATTGACCTGATCAAAATATTTTCTGAATTAATACAAGAACTTAACAAAACAGTTATTCAAATTTTTTTTTTACTTTGCCAGCTTCAAATGATTACATTTGTGCTGTGTATATTTTGGAACAATATTTTTTGCAGCATTAATCAGTGTGTAGCTTCTGAAAAGCCAGGCAAAGTGCCTTCTCTGTCATAACCTGGATCTGGAAAGGAATTACCTTTTACTCATAATGTAACAATTATATTTGTAAACAAAAGTATAGGTTTTCTAAAAATTATACTTTGGAAAAGCACAATTTAAAATTCCATTTACTTATAACAGTTGACATGCTACAGTGTGATTTTACTGCAAAACAACCCATACCTATTTTCTTTCTCTTCAATATCGGATGTGCTGTGCAGCCTTCTGGTTGGTATTGTTGGTGCAACATATACAAGCCTGGTTTTATTATCTTTATCCTGCATGATTAAACCAAAAAGTTCAGTGAGTTTGGTTATTGTTCCCATATTTAGAACAATCAGCATTACTATTCACAGAAGTCTTAAATTTTTATACCACTTATGGCAGGAGGAAGGAAGGTATTCAAAGCTTTTTACAAAAAGCCTGCATTACATGGTGCTTTCATGTATAATAGCAACTCATAAGCTAGACCAATAGAAAACTACAGCTGCAATTTTCTGTGGAATCTGCTAAAAACACCCTCTGCTAAAATCAGCAACCCCTGTTATAAACAAACACCCCTTCGCTAAAAAACTGGAAACAAAAATTAAGTTTTCTCGTCACCCGGGCCTTTGCGCTGCTGCCGGCTGTTTAATCGAAGCCGCTACTGCGGGAGAAGCGATTTCGGATGCACCTGCGCAGTGTGGCGCGAGCATGAAATCAGCTTCGCTCCACTCTTTGGTCCCACTGTTATGATTGTCTGAATGTCTCTTTCTCCTCTGTTTGTGCGTATCTCTCTCTCCTCTGTATGCGTGTGTATTTCAGTGTCTCTCTCTGTGCGAGGGTGTCTCTCTCCTCTGCCTGTGTGCAACCATATGTGTGTGTCTATAAAGTGTCTGTGTGTGTGTCTCTCTGTATCTGTGTGTGTCTCTGTCTGTATGTGTGTGTGTGTCTGTATGCGTGTGTGTTTCTGTATGTGTGTGTGTCTCTCTCTTTGTATCTGTGTGTGTGTATGTGTGTCACTCTGTGAATGTGTGTCTCTCTCTGTGCGGTGGAGGGCCCTGAGAGGCAGGAAAGTGGGGACCTCCTGTAAATCCAGTCAGAACACTGGCAAGAGCAATGATGTTTTTTGGCAGATCTCCAGGCCCTTCAGGCCTGCACTGGTGTCAAATTTCTCTGCAATTTCCCACAAAATTTGTTGAATTTACCTCACAATTTTTGGCAAATATTTCCGTAATTTTCTATTGGCCCTGGTCATAAGCTCTCTACAGATGAAGTACAGTGGAAAAGGGAGTAGGGAGAAGTGGTCAACAAAGTAGGTCTTTAGAAAGGTTTTGAAAATAGGGAGAGAGGGCAAGTTAAATCAAGTCTAGAGGTGCTAAAGTTGTGGGTGAGGGCGTCAACATTGTGCTGAGCAGTATATGTCTCTCCAGAGAGAGAATGCACACTCCAATCAGAAGGGGAAATGATAATAATAATAAATTACCATGCATATGCGGAAATTTCAGCAGGTTGGTTTGTTTACTCTTAAGCATGACATTGGGTTTACTTTGTCAGATACTTAGGTGACTAAAAATTCTGCATTGTTTTCGTATCCACAATGAAACTGGACCCAATTTGTATAGATGATCAGTTCTTCACTATTCAAATTGAATCTCCTCTGGTCAATCTGAATGCAAAATTACAATCAACACCATTTTGCACTGGTAAACTTCTTGATACCTGCCCAGGTCATACGTACTATGTTATTCAGTTTAGTGCTTCAGTTCTCAAGGCTGAGGATATGATTACATCTCTTCAAGCCTCATCAATAAGACAGATGGTCAACCAACATTGCCTTGGATGATTTATTACTGCCTAGAAGATGGTTCAACCTCAAAGAAACACCATTACTGCATCCACTCCACAAACAGAACAAAGAGCAAATCCACAGCACATTCTTAAGCTCCATTTTGAAAATCTTGAACTCAAAATAGTTAAGCGATAAATGTTTGCTCCACAGAAATAGTATTTTGAGATAAATATGAATATAGCTCTAGAAATTTATAAATTCAAACAAGTTTGAAAACAAGAGCAATATGCATTCATATAAAGTACCCTTCACATGAATAGCATCTCAAGAGCGCTTGAACAAACACCCTTAGCAGCCTTGTTATGTTGCAGCAATTAATTTGTGTCACATTCTACAAAAAAGTGTACAAAATTAGAATAAATTGCAATTATAATGTACCTTTTCTTTTTCCTTGTTATCAAATATAGTTGAAAGGCGGGGACTTGAAGCAGATCGGATAATCCCAAAGGCTTCCTTTTCCTTTAGTGCTTCTCGGGAACCACTGGTGTCGCTCAGTGCATCATGGCTCCCTGTTTTTCTCAGACCCAGTCTCCAAGATGCTGGAGACTCATCCTTACTTCCTCCTCTTTGGCAGTAGGTTTAATGAAAGGGCTAATCACCTGCGAAAAAAATATACAAACTAAGTACAGTAAAACTCACATAATATTGACTTATGATTTATGCAAAGTCCAAGTTACTTATATAAATCATATAAAATCTGATTTAATTAACAATCCACACTGCGCATGCGTAATTCAATGCAACCAGTAAGGTTGTATGTGGTACTTTATCATAACAGCTAGTAAATACGCATGCAGCGACTGATCAAGACTACGTTGCCCACGACTCAATGCGTTTTGATCCATTGCCGCATTCATACTTACCGGCAAACATTGATATTGCAGGCATTAAATTGTGAAAAACATTTTTTGTACACAAAAAGCCTGCATCACATTTCTCAAATAAAACAATGTTGAAATGATATTTCACTTAAGGTAAAGTAGTGAGTATGAACCGAAAGATAGCTGAGTGCAAAAGGCAGGGATCAATAAGAGTGGTAAGCAAGCACCTTTAATCTATATTTTAAAGATTCTCTCACCCCACCCCTACCCAAACTGCTTTGGTAAAATAAAGAGCCCTCATAATCAGGACTAGTTCTGAAATTGTCAGTATGAGGAAGCTAAATTAACATTCATGAATCTACATTAATAATAAAGCTTCTTGGTTTGAGTATAGATTAAGCATATTAATTATTTTGTCCAACTGCTGATGCAAAATCCACCAATTACACCACCAGCTCTTACTGTTGAAGAATATTCAAACAGAAAGACAAACATAAGGGGAAAAAAAAGAGAAGGTAAATATCAGTGATGCCTTACCTTTCTTGCTGTAGGAGCTGTATATCGAGCAAACTGCCCTACCGTGGTGGCTAGCTGTGAGTTGCTGCTGTTCAGTTTGCTGTTTATATTATTTTTAGCAGTCGACTTCATTTTTTCTACAAAGAATAACAACATCTTAATAAATTGCATGCATGGTGTAAACTGGGTATGTTCATGTTGGAAAAGAGAAGGTTGAACGGTTATATGATTGCTGTTTTTAAGATTCTAAAGGGACTAGATATTGTAGACCACCTTGTACAGAACGGTGGAACCCAGAGGACACAACCTGCAATTGAAGGGGGTAATTTCAAAATTAAACTGCGGAAACACAATTTCAGTGAATGAGTGGTAAATCTATCGAAAGACTCCCTAAGGAGACAATGGAAGCAGAAAGTGTCAATTCATTCAGATACAAATTAGATAGATTTCTTTTAGAAAACAATATTTTGGGATATCGTACATGAGGGATTTGAGACAAGTGTAGAATGCTTGGTAGAACCGGGCAACTTTGGATCTAAGATTCCCAAAGCTTTCTACTCGGTTGTAGACTAATCCATACAGAATTAATTGCTATCAACATCTCCATTATTGTAACAAGCGACGACCAGGATGGCAGAAGGCGAACTAGATGGACCTTAGCCTTTTATCATCTAGGAATTACTATGGTGTAAATTCACAACTACAGCTTCTGTAAACATTCTTTTTTTAGAGATGCATATTATAGCATATCATCACTAAAGAAGGTTCTTCGGTCTAATTGATCTCACACCACGTGAATACTCGCCCAACTGTTTTCCACTTTTAGCATCAAGCAGTTTCTCAATCGAGTCCAATCTTTCCTGGTAAGTCATTACAGATCCTGGTGCACCGCACCTAACACCTACCTAGCCTATTTAACCTTCCCTTCAGCCATTTATGAATCCATGTCCATGTCTTATCCTTGATACCCAGTGACATTGGGTCAATGCAGCTAGCAGGGCAGATTTTGCGTTGAGTGTATAGATTAGGTTGTGCATTCTCCTGGTGCACACCTGATGTATAATTAATAGTTCACTGTAATGTGAAGACTTTGTTGTCTGCTATCACATCAATTCCATGCATGATCTTGAAGATTTCAATAAGATCGCCCTCTACACCAATAAACAGGTCAGGTTCACATTAATCATTAACTTTTTTTTAAATTCCTGCCTTGGTGTGTGATCAGCTTACCTGTAGCTGCTTCAGATTCAGAATCAGAGCCATCATCATCTTCCTCAGAACTGGAACTACTCGATTCATCTTTTTTGCTCTCTTCCACTTCATCAGGCTTTTCTGGCTCAAGCGATTTGTGCTTCATTTCCTTCTCTTCGGAAAGTAGATTGTCTTTACTAGGATATTGATGAAATGTAATTTAAATAATTAAAAAATAGAGCATGGACACATAGCCTGAAGAATATAACACTGAATGGGAATGAAGCAGAGGGATCTGGAGAACAAATACATACATCACAAAAAGTGGGACAGCAGGTACAAAAAGCCACCAGAGAGGCAAATGATGTTCTGGATTTTATAAACTGAGGTATTTAATATTACAGAGAATTAAACAATTCCAATTGGAATTTAAATTGGTTAGCCCACAATTAGCGCTGCATTGAGCTACAGACTCCCTATTGTAATAAGGATATCAGAGATGGGTACAATGCAGATTCACCAGGATGATATTGCGCATGTGGAATATACAGGGTAACCCTGTTAAGAAAACACTTGTCAGAACATGCAGTGTGGGTCCACAGTGTTGTACATTTTCAACTTGAACTAGTCATGACCATTCTTAACATTCTGCACAGGAAACCAGCTGGTTCACACCGAAAGCCGGAGTGAAATTATTGGCAGTCTAATAACCTAAAAGTGTCAGCCAATCTTTTTGCTGATCTCTTATAAACGCAGCGTCTAATTTTTAGATCCAAAACAATGTTATACTGTACTTAGAAAGAGAAGCTGGATAAATAGGATTGTTTTCCTATTTATTCCACTGGAGCAGAGGAGATTGAGAAGGGTTGTTTACGATTCTAAATGGCATGACAGGTAAATGAGGGAAAAACGGAAACCAGAAAAACGATCCTGTAATTGGGCATCAGTAACAAAGGGAAAGTTCTCAGAGTTAACAAAATTGCAGGGAGGGAGGAGAAGGTAGAAACAATGTCTTTAATCAAAGTTTTTGTAAGGTATGATATTTATCAAATATGGCTCTGGAATTAAAATTAATAGAATAATTCAAAAGAGAACTGTATTAAAGCTATAAAAAATTAAGTAATACGGGAAAGAGCTAGAAAGTGGGATTAATGGAGTGATTCCTGGTTTTCTTTTCTTCATCCCGTGAGTATAAGAGATCTTTTAAGCACAAGTAAAACTTTGCTTTTAAGTATACTGACTTATGATAAATTAGTATATGCAAAGCCAGAACCATTCTGATTTCTGAACTGTGTTCTCTTCAGCCAGAATGAATGGTTCATTAAAAAGTTGTTTCACCTTTGCTGCAAGACTCGCCAGGATGGATACCGGTGTCACCATAAGCTTCAAAACTAAAAATAGACTTTTTAATATTTCAGAGAAAATCAAACTGTCATTAATTCTATATACCTTAAGTGTGGTTTGCAGTTCACAGTTGACTCAATTAACGTTGACCGCACAGCTCGTTTCTCAGTGCGAAGCTGCCACAGGGAAAATTACATGGTCAGAATTGTTTCATGGTCACACACTGAACATTCTTCAAATATTAAATCTCTGTAAATAGCAATTTTGCTTAAAGAGTATCAATTGGATATGTGGTGGTAATTGCACAGTTTCTACCTCTCTCCCAGTTTAGGCATTTTACCCACTTTTATTGAAATGCTAACTCAATGAAAAACTTTTAATCTGGAGCCACATAATCCACTGGATCAAATATCACATGGCCAAGACAATCTTTCTATTTCAGCGTTCTGCAAGGAACTATTCTCTGCAATAAAACATTGTGTGTAATCTACACTAAAAACATATGTACACATGAATCCAAACCACCAAACTAACTGAACTGAAATGTTTTCTCTAGATTCTCTAGATTTCACAGCTTTTTCCTGCAATGTGCGACCTTTGCACTGAATTGCAACCAGTTTATAAATGCTGAAATTTCACAAAAATAACTTTGGGGACACTTTTATTCATTTATATCTGCACAAAATTTGGCGAGTTACGGGCACCCCTTCATTCCAAGATCTTACTTGCAACTCCTTGGTTGAAGTCATCTCCATATGAGTCAACATCCAAAACACTTGTGTATACATTTATGTGCAACATGCAGGCAGTTAAAAACCCTCACAAGATCACAATATTGGTTCGGATGAAGAAGGCCCTTGGCCCATCTGACCTCATTCTTCCAGAATACCCACCCTACTGTCCTCCCATCACAACATCAACCTGCTTTTTAAATGAGTCTGGTGTGCTGGCCTCAACTGCCCTCCCTGGTAACCTGTTCCAGTTTACATAAGGTTACCTTCTAAGTAATGAAAAACGTCCTAATATTTGTTCCAATTCTGATCTAAAAAGCTAACTAAGCTTTCATAATTTCTTTGTAATGAAATATTTGCATCCCAATACGTCTACTCTAGGGCATGGAGAAAAATTAGACATTTCAATACAAAGCTAAGTAAGGAACAATAATCATTTACGCCATCTATTTACCATATTCAGAGCTATGCAAAATCTTTCCAAATGAATACTGTTAATATTAATTACAGTTAATACTGATGCCATATTATTCAAATCACCAATGATGTCATCATTTTTAGGCTTAAACCAATATCTAGCTATTTTATGGTATTTTAGAGCTCCAAGACATTGCCCCAAGTGAAGGGCACCACATAAACACAAGTTGAGCATGTTGAAAATCATTCATTTTTGAAATTTAAATTTTATTGGCAAAAAATAAGACTAGAAAACTAGAAAATAAATAATACTTACAATGTTCTGTTTCTTCTGCAGTTCCTCTAAATGCTCAACAATACTTTCATCTGCTAAATCGAATGGAGTTTGGCCCTGCAAAATATTACAACAGAATTATAAGTGAAATAAACAAACTACAATAGAATTAGCAGACAAGGGTAAAGAAAGAAAAGTGCAGCAAAATACATTTAGAACTCGGCAAAGATTGCCAACTTTCGTCTTTTAACCTTCTCTGAAAGTAATAAAATTCGGGCTAGACAAAAAAAACAAAAGAATTGCAAGTAACCACAGAATACATCAGAATAGTTACTTCCATTCTGATCTCAAAATGACACGGAATTAAAAATGGCACTCGGGATGGGAGGGTATTCTCATAAGGCATGAAGAAAACACAATGACTTTTTTGCTGTTACCCCACGTGAAGGACGCTAAATAAATGCAAGTTCCTGGTGTTGTTGTTGGTTAACCAGTCGTCACCAAAGTAAGTAGCGTGTAAAAAATAAATTGGAGATTTTAAAAGTGGCTGCATTTTTCACCTGCGCTGTATATTTCTACCAGTCGTGGTAAAAAGATACACCGATATGAAAGTATATGTTTGACCAAAACATGTTTTGTTACCCTTTCACCTTTCGGACTAAATTTTAATTCAGACCAAACAAATGATAGTTCTCTATAGAATTTGCTAAGCTCGTTTGTGAAGCAATATTCTGCCATCTCAATTCATTTAGAAATGCATTAGTTCTAAACAGCATATGCAGTACATGAACACTAAAATAGCAATTTCCATTAAAAACAAGATTTAAATAGTTGCACTACCACGTGTTAAAAACTCACCACTTTATTAACAACATCCATGTCACAAAGACTCTCCACGAGGATCCTACAAGCTTCTTCTTTGCACCAATGGGCAGCTGCATGGAGTGGAGTCCAGCCATCATTGTCCTTGATATTTACATCATATCCAGCCTGTATCAGCAGCCTTCAAGATAACAATCAATGGCAAATTATTGTAAATTGTGTTGCCCTCAAACTTGTTCCCCTTATCCGTGATTGTATCATGTCCAGGCTTGACTACCCCAATTCTCTGCTTGCTGGACTTCCCAACTCTTCCCTCCACAAGCTACAGAATATACAAAACGCAAAATACTGCAGATGCTACAAAATACTACAGACTATTTAGAATTCTGCAGTTCATGTTCTCTCACCCACAAGGCTCCATGAGCCTATCACGCACTCCCCGCCAGGCTCCACTAGCTATTCTTTCCCCGAAGGCTCAAGGTCAAGATCTTCATCCTCTCAGGTCTTGTCTCTGTTGCCTTCTAAAACTATACCACACCAGCCCCTTTCTCTGCTCAGCAGACACTTGGCCTGCTTTACATCCTCTGCCCGCTTCACCATTGGTGGTCGGGCCTTCAGCCTACTTGCTCACTCTCTGGAACTCCATTGCAGAGTCCCTTCACCTCACCCCTTCCCTCGGCTCCTTCAAGGTCCATCTTAAGACCTTCCTCTTTGACCACATCTTCTGTCATCACCCCTCTCCGAACCCCGGCCACACCCCTCCAAAATCCAATCCCCAACTCAGGTGTAAACCCCAATTGTCCAGCATTTTGGGACGTCCTTCCAACATAAAAGGCGCTATATAAAGCGTTTATTCATTTTGGTTATTCTAAACAAACACCATACTCATCATGTTTTATCCCATCTACAAAGCAGTGGGGAGAGAAGGCATTGTTTGTCAAATAGCGATGAGGATTTGGCCCTATGTCACATAGTCAGAATGAAATAAATTGTAATACCCATACCACTGTCTTACAAAGTACAATCTGGGGATTGAACATGGAGAATTCCTGATCATGGAATTCAATGTTAGGTACACATGCAGCTCATTCACAAATGAGACATCTCCTAGACTTTTCTACAAATCTTTTAAACAGTAGTTTCGTCTATAACTACATTTATAAAAGCTTATACAGGAGTGTTCCATTCTGTAATAAAAACTAATAAAATACACCGTTCTATTCTAGATCTAAAGAATAAAGCAAAATCAGAATCTGGTCATAGGGAAATGCACACTTCATTCAGTGAGTCGCAAATCACTACAGATAACCCCTTTATAATGCAAATGGGTTATGGACCCAGACATTTTGCCATTTGAAATGCAAATCCTGTCAATGCCCTTGAAATCCCATCGCCTTTCAAATGATGTCACCATTATACTGGAGTACCACAGGGATTTTGTCAGCTGACAGCAATGACTGTACAGTGCCAATTGGCTGTCTGCATACATGTGCAGTGACATCCCCAGAAGCACTGACTAGCAGCTGCTCTCGAGTTGCTCTGTGGCTTGGGTCATCCTCCCGACGTGAAAGGTGTTATGAAAATGTAATTTATTATTGTGGTGCCCCAATATAAGACAGCCTGCTTTTTTTGTGCACCTCAACTAGCGCCTTACAACAGGATTGTCTTATGAATTATCTAGTACTAATATGGATACTATAGTTAGTAACGTACAAGCCATCTTTTACACCTCGCATTCACTTACTTCAAAACCTCTAGGTAGCCTTTTGCAGCAGCCACATGCAGAGCCGTTCCACCTGATTTTGAATTCTTTAGATCTTCTATTTTACCACTATTTAACCACTGCCTAGCATCCTGGAGCATTCTGTGCTCTTCTTCTTTCCTTGAAGCTTCAACATCAATTCCTATTGAGGAGAAATTGTACATCATTCAGTATGTAAGATGTAGCCTGTATACTAGCAATGTTCCCATCCATCTTAGCAGGTAACTCACTAATTTCACTTTACAGCATCTTTTGTTCATTACTACCCCCTGACGTTCAGTCAAGTCATGATGCAACACATATAACTTTTTTTTATTTGCAAACAAAAACAAGGAAAGTATACTGTACATAAAAGAATGGCCATACTATTGCTTAAATATAGAAGGTTCCATGGTGGTTTAATGTACAGTACTTGCATATTCCGAACTGATTAAATCAATTTTGCCAATAACAGACTATCCCAATTGGTTCATGATCCATTATTCAATACAGAACACATTCGTCATAACAAATAGATTTTACATTATTTACACAATAATAAGATTTATAAGTCAATTGACCAATTAAGTTTCTTTCACACAATTGGGGTCATCTTTGTTGCCTTGACTCTATATTTAGCTGTATGGTAACTGAATCTTGCTCACATCTCATGTCGACTCAGCTGATCTAAAGATACTGAAAGTTACAGAAATTAATCAAGAACTACAATTCTGGGTGCCCCACTTTAGGAAGGATGTCAAGGCCATGGAGAGCATGAAGAGGAGATTCAATAGGCTGATACCACAGTTGAGAGGTTTTAGCTGTGAGGAAAGAAACTAGGCCTGTTTTCAGTACAAAGAGAAAATTAAGTGTAGACTTGATCGAGCTGTGAGTTTTTTTTAATAATGTAAAATAGAGAAACTATTTGCAAAGTCAGTAATTAGATTACATAAATTTAAGATCATTTAAAAAAGTGTGAGGTTGGGTGAAATGTTCTTAGACAGAGTGTATTAGAAAATGGAATGCTCCATAAAGGATTATGGTTGAAGCAGAACAGATATTAACTTTTAAAAGAAATTTAGATAAATACAGCTATTTAGAATTAGATAAATATTTGAAAAAGAAAAAATAATAAAAAGGGTATATACAAGGAAAGTGGATTGGGACTAAATAAATAGTTCTTTCAGACAGCCAGAACTGAGAGCTTTAAAATTCAAGGATTCTACAGTGGGAATAGTGAGGCTACAAATCCATGGTTAAAAGGTTAACCCTCATTCCACTAATTTGCTGGGAACTAGGGCAAAAACACAAATAGTTAAAAATCTGTGACTTATGCGCTTTTCACATACTTTGTAGGCTAAAACAAATCAAAACTACATTAAACACAACATTTTCATGCAATATTCATTAATATTCAGCAGTTAGTGGTTGCTATATTTGGATTTGCTGTATGCATAATATGAAATTTACAAAAGTGCCTCAAGAGGGCAGATTTGTACATTAACTGCTACTAAAATGTAAGATATGCTTTTTCATACTTTCTAAAATATTTTTGCAAAAACAATCTGCACCACACACCAGGTTAAGTTTATTGCTCTGAGTAACTTCTTATTTCTGAAATTGCAGAAACCGGAAGAGATATTGTGAAATATCAAAGATAACAGAATTTCACATTTATACACGAGTAGAATGCTGGTTAATCGTACACCCCTTATAAAAGGATAGGCAGGCAATTTTAATTGTTTAAATTAATAAATAATATGAGGAGTCACAAACAAACTTATTATTAGAGCTCAACTCTACTAATTTCAAACAGTTATTTAGAATTTAAGGCTGCTTCCTAGAAATTATGCCAACATTCATCAAGAACAGGTTTTGGTGGTGAAAGTCAATTTCAAGAATGCAGTTTACATGCTCACATGACTGACCTGTTCTTTGCCACGAGTTCGTACTAATTGACAAAACGGGCAGAGGACAGCACGAGTACACAAATATTACGTATTTTTGAAATTGATCTGTACTGTAACACACAAAACACAACAACCTTCATAACAGACAATGAGCAGAGAATTTTGTTTTGAAAGGGAATATTAGAATGAGTATGCTTCAGTTCCAACTTCTATTATTTTGATACACATCCATTTTCATATTTTTGCACTTGTTACATATTTAGTGCTTAAACACAATAAATGATTAGCTAAGTGAATTTAGCTGAACTCCTGTCAGAATAAAATAATAATACTTGCATTTGATATAGCGCCTTATGTCATAGAAAACATCTTAAAGGGCTTCACTGGATTTACCTAGGGGATTGTTAACCAGAACAAAGGGAGAAATAGCCATCTCTTTTCGAATAGGAATAGCACCTTGGGATCTTTAATATTCACCTGAGCATGCAGATGGGACCCCAATTAACGTTTCATCTAAAGGATTGACTGTGTATTTTGACTGCGTATTTTGTGGTCGAAACATGGCACAGCAATTTGCACACAGCAATGTCGTACAAATGAAGTGAATGACAATTTAATTGGGGGTGGGGGGGGGGTTGTTTGCTAGGAAACCGAAAGAAACTCCCTTTTTGTTTTGAATAGTGCCACGGGATCGTTAACGTCCAACTCAACAGACAGATGGGGATCTCGGTTTAACATCACCTCCAGAAATGGAACATTGCACTGGAGCGTCAGCTTAGACTATTTGATCCCAAGTTCTGATATGAGGCTTAGCCTGTGCGATTCTAAGTTGTTACATAACCTTCTGACTCAGAGGCGAGAGTGCTACCACTGAGCCAGGCTGATATGTATTAAGTAAAAAGTATGTATCAAGTAAAAGAGTATTACTCACGTACTACTTGATCCAGGTCAAATATTTCTGTGGGTATTTTTAATGTATGCTCTGGTTGCCAATTCTGTTTTCTATACAGAGTGAATTGGTACATTGAAGATGATGCAGCAAATACATGTATTTGAAAGCTGAAAAGTTGTTTTGGCAATAGTATTTGCATAATATCTCAGAGAAGTATAGTAGTTATACATGTTCTAGTAACATAATTGCATCCAAAGTAATAAAATGGAGTCCTGTAGTTTAGTGATTAGAGCATCCACCTCACAAGCAAGATGACCTGAGTTCGATTCCCTGGCAGGGCGAAACGTTGGGCAAGTTTCCTTACTCCACAAGCCTCTGTTAACCTGGCAGTAAGGAGGAACCCGGTTGTTAGTCGATTGGGAGATCGATTCTCCGGGGGTAATAATCCCTTCAAAAAAAAATAATAATTTGGTCACACAATCCACAACTGTTTGTTGTACACTGTTATGTGCAATTGTCTGCCGCGTTTCACCCACAAAATATACAATCAATTCACATTACAGTATATTCAGTAAGACGTGATAAGGCGCTATATCAATTGCAAGGATTATTATTGTAATAAATAATCCTTGCATTTGATTTTTGCTTATCTCAAAAGTCAAAATGTCTCAAATTGCTTCACAGGATTTATTGTAAAATGTAGTAACTGTGTATTTTGTAAAATGAACGCAAATAGCCATGAAGTAAATCATCAATTTTACCTAGCGGATTGTTAACCAGAACAATGGGAGGAACTCCCTTCTCTTTTCGAATAGCACCGTTGGATCTCTAATATTCACCTGAGCATGCAGATGGGACCTCAATTAACATTTCATCTAAAGGGTGCACCTCCAAAATGCAGCGCTCCCCCGTACAAATAGTACTGGTGACTGTTAACCTAAACTACAGTACAAGCTTAAAGTCCCAACGTGGGACTTGAACCCAAAACCTTCTGACTCAAGAGGTAAGAGTGCAAACAACTGACAACCGGTCGTATAGTCTCCTGAATAAAATATATACACGCCATACAATGTCACATGTTTCATTGTACATCTTCTTGGATACATTTTGGAAACTGATGACAACTGCAATTTATTAAAATTGGAAATTACAACAATTGAGTCATAGTTGGCAGGACTAATTTACAGGTATGTGGTGCATAATTCAGTGACAATTGGTTAAGGTTTGATGCAACTGAAACTAATCTCACATTTCATCATGCAAGATTATTTGTTTCTATGATGGTATTTATACCCCTGGATGTAAGTCTACAACCAAATGTGTACGATTGCATGCCATTGCTGCAACTGTGCTTAATTTATTTCTATTGCCTAGAGTTAAAATAATAATTCTTAGTGGTTTACAACAGTAAAAAGCCAAATAAGGTCTGGATTATATCAACAGATGAGTGCAAATCAAAACCGATTATAATGTTGCTGTATAAAGCATTGGAAAGATCTGGAATACTGCATGCAGTTTTGGTTACCCAAAGATTCATCTATCTTTGGACAGAAATTGTGTTTAGAGATTCAATGAGAAGGCAGATATAGGATTGAAAACCCATCAAAAAGGGAAAGGCCTTCTCCACTATTCTCCTTATCATATACACTGGTGGTCCAATTTGAAAAACTGGATCCCCACTGGATTTCTGTCATGTTCTTTGTTTATCCTCAACTATCTGCAACCAAGTCTCCTTTAACTGTAGATTTGACCGCTCCAAAAGTCCAAGTTTACTAAATTGCGATTGCAAAATTTCAGTTTGGAACAGTCATTATTTTTGGTACAGAACACTTCCAATCTGTGTCAAGTTTTATTTATGCCAATGTCCACTCCCATTTCTAGGGGTGATTCAAGATTAAATAAAGTTGAGCCAATTTCCTCCTCTGCTGGCTTGCAAAGTTGGTGACTTCAAAATGAATAGCATTCCCCACAATCTGTACCTCATTCAAATGTACCCAGTCTCTCATATAGTTATATTTCTATGGTTGTTTTGAAAACCAAAATAAAATCATTGATAAAACACTTTTACAAAGGGCAGATTGTTGTATCTAAAGGTCTTTTCATGCTCTAAATAATCATGTTCTATGCAATAATTTAGTCACTTGAAAAACAAAATTCTCCATATCCACATCATCACTTAACAAAAATCACTGTTTCGGGATCACCTCATAATTCAATGCTAAAGCTAAAAATTAAAACAAAATCTTACTGCTCATTTCTGGGATACCACCTGTGAGACTGACAGACCATCAAACCTCACTTGCTCATAAATATCCAACTCAATTTCAAGAATGATAACATCTTTGAAAATACAGATCAAGACACTGGCAGAAAATTTAGATATTCTAGAATTGCATACTTTACCTTGCCTACTGATTTCTTGTTGTAAAAGGTCTTTCATTGCTGATTCCTCTGCAATATCAGATGGAATTTCTCCTTCGCTGTTAACAGCAGCAACATTGGCTCCATTATTTATTAAATACCTGCAAAAAAAAGATATCTAACTTTCTACTGGATAATTACTAATACATCCTTTAAGAATTAAATAACTATGGAGAAAGCAAAACAAAGTACAAGCCAAATTCATTGTTGCAGTACTAAGCACAGAAAGCAATTTTCAGCTTTCAAAACTGCATTTGTAGTCATCGATGGCAAAAATGATCATCTACAAACGTCAATTGTTAAGACAACAAATCTATCAAATAGAAACTTGGAATTTCATGAAAACAAAATCAAGGAACAAATAGATAAAAACCAGTGTTGAAAATTATATTCTTGTACTCAAAATATACGGGGTAAAATCTATGGCATTCTTTATATTCAACCTTTATTTAAGCAACATTTTAAAGGCACCAGCAGATGGCACACTTCTCCAAGTAAATGATTTGTTTCTCTCGGGGTCCGGGTGCTGACATTTTCTGACCCTGAGGGGAGATCAATTTTATTTTATGAATTTTAGGCCCCAGATCATATTCTTAATTTTTATTTGCTTAAAATTGATTTCAAAATGCAAGAACAGTAAATCTGCTCCTTCCTCAGTCAAAAAAAGATCAACTTTTAGCAATCAGTTTAGGGTTAAGAAATATTTTTAAAACAAGCACCACAAGTTTTACCTCTATATAATTCTAAATATGAAAGAAAAAACCTGGGTCTAGATTTTCTTATCTTCGACAATTGTGCTATCCACAATGTTTACAAAAATGAATTACAGTGAACTCCTGGAAATAAGACCGTCTTATATCATCTCATGGTTTATAACATCTGTCAATATCCTGGCCGCTTCCACGCAAACTGTGTATAAGGGACCCCCTTACCTCTTTATTTAATCACTCGCTTATACGTATAATGTCGGATTCTATACATCCCAGTAAGTAAAATATCGATACATCAGAATGAATTTACCTGCACTGCTCAGTCAGCCGTACCATGGCCATGCAGTGAACTCTCTTGGGAAAGAATCAGCGAACTCTCGTGTTGAACAGCCTAGTACTGCAGGAAAATGTTGCCCTCAACCTCAACCAGTCGCATGGTAGGCTGTTTTGACACGATCGCTATGTGTAGAAGTTTTAGACCTTGCCTTTTCTGTGAGGTTCTGCCTAATTGTTAAACTTTGATTGTTTCTGCCTATTTGTTAAAGTCTAAGTGATTCAGGTTGTTAACAAATAAACTGACAGTTGTGGGGACTGTTTCCACTCTGTTATACTGACAGATGCACGCTCTGCAGTGCAGTATGTGATGCTGTAGGTTGTAACAGCCAGAGGGCTCTTCGTGGCACCGGAGGACTAATGCCCACCTAGTCATCCTCCCGGATCTAGTCACTGAGCTATTTTCCTTTGGGAATGATGATATATTGAGTTTACTGTATTTACCAGATTGATCATTACTAAAATAGACACAAACTCATAATACCATGGCACTTTCCTATCAGAGAAAATAAATTAGTTAATAAAGCATTGCTTTTATTGGAAGTCTGTTCCACATAGACAACTCCATACTGGATATCAAAATACCTAAAGATATAGCACATTAATGCATTTTAAATTTGGTCCTAAAGGATAAACCCATTTTCAAATTGTTCACAAACTGGCACAAGAGAATAATTCAAACAAGAATTGTGTTGACCTTGGAAACAGTCACCAAACAGTTACAATTGCTCATAATACAAATCTGTCTCTTTTTTTCCCATCCTTCACAGCTGCACATTACCAAACAATGACCGCCTATACTTCCTTCACTTGGAGAAAATTAGCTGGCATCATTGTCTTTAATTCAAGTTCTTTAATTCAGTTAGTAACAGTCCTACTCTTTTCCTGGCACATTGTGTTCCCTTTTATTTCTGAAGCTTGAAGTCAAACATTCTATAAATTGTACACAACAGTATAAAATGAATGATTGGACAATACTAGTTATTTGTGATAAATTTAAAAGAGATTGAGAAACTTAAGATTCAATTATAGATAAATGCTGCTCATTAAAGTAATATCAACTTGAACGCATTTGCAGTGATTAGCTCCAGACTTCCTCTCATCTTTTACACTGTGGTATTTAAGATTATGAAAGGATTTAATAAGGTGGACATTAATAGACTGCTTCTAATTGTTGAGTCCAAAACCAGGGGGCAGCATAGATATAAGATAGATGAACCCAATAGGGAATTTAGTAGGAAGTATTTCATGCAGAGGGTGGCAAGAATGTGGAACTCACCAGCAGTGCAGTGGTCAAAGCAAAAAGCATCAATGTATTGATACTGTTCATATTGATAAGAGTGTATAGTAGAAACCGAGGATAGCACGTCAGTTTGCTCATAGCACAGTTCGGTTTGAACCATGTGGAACATTTAATCACCCAATAATTCCAAAATGCATATGTGGTTCCATCAAAATCCCAGCCAGCATATGGGAAGAGAAAATGTCCAGCTTCCTTTTCCTGAGGTTACTGCCAACATCTCATTGAATACAGAAGAGCTGCCTCCTATTCATATCCTGTCATAATGCTGGTTGGGCTTTTAACGGAGATCCCGAACTATCCATCATAATGGGGGGGGGGGGGTACTCTATCGTAACGAAATAAGTATTTACACTTTTATTTTCATCTCCTTTCATGGATGAAAGAGAGCAGTGTTCCCTGACAACTCCCTAGTGGGAATAATTCAGTGAAGGTTTTTCCTGCTATACAAGATCAGCCAAAGAGAAGTAGCAGGGGAAGAATATCCTTCTCTGTTCTCCTCATTCCCATCCCCTATCATCTCTATAAGGATTTACACTAGCAGATGAGGAATATCATTTGAGTACGTTTTATCCAGTTTCTGTTCAGCTACCAGAATATTTTCTCAATTGGAACAGAATATAGCACTAGCCATTCCCTCCCCCACCTGAAAATGCCAAATGTTTGAATCTGCATAAGTATTTTAGTAGTTATAGTGCAACAAATATATCTTCCAAGCCAGAGAAGGACGGGCAATGGCAAACAGCATTTATGGAGAAATATGAGCACGGTTAAAATCTCATCTGCAAAATACAACACACAAAGGTATACATCATCCAGGAAATATTTCATAGCTATCTACACTACAATAAATTTGTTTGTTGCGGAGTATGTGCTGTTGAAAATGAAATAATACAGAGATTTTCTAATAGAGAAACGCTAAGCAGTGCAGCAACATTGTATACACACGAGTCCTGTAAAGCCTATCATTTCAGCTACATAGCAAGCCTGGAATGTATTTATAAACATTGCCCTGTGCAAACTCCCACTTACTCAGCTATATTTATGTATCCACAGGATGCCACAGCATGCAACGGGGTCCAGCCCTCGTTATCTGGCTGATTGGTGTCTGCGCCATGCTCCACCAAAAACTTCACCATGTCGAGGTTTTCATCTATGCAAGCCTGCAAAACAAAAGTTACCTTACTGTTAAATACAACATACATCTGAAAGTGCATTGCAATTGTTAAGAATAATAAATGTCACGGCAAAATGAAGCTCTTCCTTTTTGTGCAACAAAGTAATGTGAGGCACATTCTTAAAACCATAATTTGACATCTCTGATCAACTAGTGTCCACTATGTTATACCGTATACATCTAAGCCTGTATGCTGGAATCGAGTCTTACAGTTAACCAGTTTAATTTCCCTGGTCAGCATGGACCTGTACTTTCATATCTTACAGCTAGCTTTATATTCTATTTTAACATACACAAGCTGTTCAGTCTGCATGAGACCATTAACTTCACTTTTAGCATACTGCAATAATTGAGATGGATCCCTAAATTTCACATGTGATTTTGCAAAATCACATTGGTAGCACTAGCCATTTTTCACCATTCAGGTGGACATAAAAAAAAGTAAATGTTGTGTTTGACTGAAATCTTGGCATGGGTGAGGTTACTGGTGCACCTTCATATGCCAACCATTATACTTTACTGACATCTCAATGACAAGAAAATAACAAATTGCATATTATAGGGGCTTTCAAGTCAGAAGGACTTCCCAAACTGCTGGATAATGAAGAATTTGCACTCAAACTGGGGGATGGAATCAAGAGGGGTGGAACGTAGGAGGAGTAGGGGTGGAAGGGTGGTCAAAGGCACAGTCTTGAGATGGGCTTTGAAGGAGGTGAGGGAGGAGTGAGGCGGAGGGATTCTGGGATCGAGTTCCAGAGGATGGGGTCAGAAAAGCTGAAGGCCCAATCCCAAATGGTGGGGCAAGCAGGGTAGGGGACATGGGAGCAGACCAGTGCCTGGCGAGCAGAGGGAGCGTACAGATTGGTATGGGCAAAACTAGGTTTCAATCATTTATATCTATGAAATTATATTGTATTAAAATTGACATTACTTCTAACAATGCAGCACTTTTCTAGCACTGCACTGAAGTGTTAGCCTCGACTATGAGCTCAAAATCCCGATTTGGGGCTTGAAGTCACAACCTTCTGACTCAGAGAGAAAAGTGTTTCCAACTGAGCCAGGCTGAAACCTGGCACAATTAAATAGCATGACCTCCTACAACACTTAAAGCAAAATCGCTTAGTCCCATACAAGCAAAACATACCCAATTTCCAAGATATTAAGAAGTAACTGCATTGAATCATACTGCAATGTTGTACATCAGAAGTAATCACTACAATTTCCCTGAAAAAGGATTAGTACAAAGATACTGTTCCCTATAAGTAATCATTTACTCTGAAAAATAAAGTTCAGTCTTTCTTGTATTCTGTGCACAGAATTGGATAACCTGCAGTTGCCAGTTTATAATTCCATCAATATTATGTGGCATAATATGTTATACATGATGGATTTTTAAATTTTCTATGAAGTTTCAATGCGATCATTTGAGATGCAGTACTTTGTCAGCAACTGAAGTCCTGCAACAATTCTATGTGACCCTGCAATATGGCGATGTTACTTCAATACTCAGTCTCAGTATGGATCTTGTTCATAGATGATTGTATAATTCAGACTATCTTTATAAGATAGAACCAGCCATTCAAGTACACTTAATACACTTACAAAAACAAACTTAATATAAATAAACCAACTTGCAAGATGTACTTTGGCCATTAATTACCATTAGTTGAATGCATTTCTTTCTACAAACTGCAAAGGCTACGCATAATAACTATAGGTATATATAATGCACTTGATTCCATAATAATGCAAATAACCTGCTCAGAGTGAGTATAGTAAACGTTCAAAAATCCACATTATAACTCATTTTGAATTAAGTAGGAGCCATTGTATCTCTCCCCCCACCTCTCCCCCGCAGAAAAAAGGCTACAACTCATCATGAACAGTAGAATAACAGTTTGAACTTCAGAAGTTAGAATTTCTTCCAAAATATCCTCTGTGCTTTAAACCAGAACACATACTACAATAGCAATGAATGCAGGATATCCTGAGGGTACAAGTGTTTAAAGAAAATTCCTTTGCATGAACAAAATATCTTGAAATGTGGCCTCAAGAGTTTGTGCTCAGAAGCCAGACACTGCATAGAAAAACAAGAAATATGAACAAGTTATCAAGAAATATTGCAAGTGAGAAATATTAATTGTAACAATTTCTCACTCAGATCTTTCAACAAATGCCTCCAGCTTTGTTAATGAACTTTTAAAAGCTATGTTACAGCAGTCACCTTTCCCAAGCAAAGACCCAATCTTCAGCTTACATTGACAGCCAGGTGGCTGTCGTTCATCATGCACCTGGACCTAGCATTTGCCAGGACGCCAGTTGGAACTTGGCCCAGTGTGAAACCTGTAGAGAACCACTTTAAATCAAACCAAAAAGACTGTCAATATGACAACTGGGACTACTACAGTGGACCATTGAACCATTTAAAGAGCAAGTTTAAAAACACACTCCTTCCAGCCACAAGAATATATTGATAAGATTGTTTATGTAACAGTGTAGTCGTGGATATTAACATGCTCTAAAATCAGACTATTTATTGTAGGAAAACTATTTATTCTGGAAAGGTTTGCGTTGAACTGTCAGTTGGAACGCTGTAAAGATAACCTCACTTCAAACCATTTAAAACCAGCAGAATTCATTGGGAATAATTTTATATCATAACTATTTTGTAGATTTGGTACCAATGGAAGCACTTTCCCACTGGGTCAAAAGGTTATGGATCAAGAATGGAGACCTTAATTTAGGCTGACATTCCAGTGCAGTACCAAGGGACTGCTCCATTGTTTGAAGTGCAAATGTTCTGCTCAGAGATTTAAAACCAGGTTCTTTCTGTCTGCTTGTTTGTTTGGTTAATGTGGGCATTAAAGATTCCATGATACTATTTTCAAGAGCAGCAGATACCTCCCCTTGGCTAATATTCCTCTTTCATCAAAAGCAACAAAAAAGGATTACACTCATTGTTCATCTCATTATGATCATAGATTACCTGCCATGTGTGCTTTTAAGTTTCAAAGCTCACAGTAAAATGGTTTTAAGGCAAGTAAATATTATTAGCACTATATCAAATCAAATATTTTATTTGACTGAAACTTGGAATGTACAATTAAATTATTTAAATATGTATATTTAATGAATTATTGCTAATATACTCTACACATGCCTTTTATGTCATGAATTCAGATGCCAGGTAATGTCTTCCAGCAGCTGTCACCCCAAGCCTCAGAGTTTCCTCATCAGCTATCTGGCAGACATCTGCCTTCAGTGTGGTGAGAGGACCATTACAGGACAGCTTGTGATGTGTTAGCCACTTTGATGTTCTCAAGGTCTCAAGTCCAAAACCACAGACCAGGTCTACTCAGCACCAGCTGCTTCAACCAGATCCCCATACGGGGGGCCCTTGGCAAATAGACATGCCTCCTACGTAGCAGACTCTGTTTCCAGGGTGCTCAGCGACAGTTCAGTGTAGGCCAGAGCCCTCACTCCATGCAGTCGCTTCCTGTGTTTGCCACATATCCACCACACTGCTTGATCCTGGATTTTGCAAATGGGTCAGAGGAAGTCTCTCCACTGCATCCCCTGGAGATTGGATCCATAAAGGAGGACTGTTTTCACACAGGTTTTGTATTGCCAGAAGCTTGACCTGTAATGGGAACTTGCTGACCTTGAAAAGGGACGAGCTTAACCAGAGGGCCAGCGCCCCTTCTCAGCGCAGTCCTTCAGGACAGTGTCCAAACAAACGCTGGTGTCCACCACAACCCCAAGGTACTGATAAGAATCAACAATTGGGACTGATCACCTAGTATCTTCCAATCAATTCCCTCAATGTCATCTCTTGTTTTCTACTAATGCATTCACTATTCTGTGCATCTCTATCTTAGCTATGGGTGGGGGGGGGGTGATTCTGTAATATATATGCAGTACAACATGTTCTGAATGCTCATCTCCTGTCTTGATTGGAAATTGGTTTGAGTTCTGGGAATGTCTATCACACACGCTGACCTTCCACAATTGGCGGATTTTGTTTTCATTATGCTGCCAGATAGTGCTTTGTTACAGTGGGATCGATCCTACATCAAGTAGGGGTCGAGATGAAGGTGAAAGAACCAAAACGAGGACAACCTTCAGAGGCAGTTCTCCCTCTGCAGGCAGTTGCACTCCCAAATAGTCAGTACCACAAAGTCATTAACAGCTGCACTACAGAATAGTGACCATCCTTTCCAATTTCAGGGCAGTAACTGGAATATTCACATTATAGGCCATATAAAAATGCATACAAATATGTGAGCAAAAAAAAATATTAAACTGAAATACACTGAAGAAATGACACTTTCTCAAAATCTTATTCACAGGATTTTACTTTAGTGTATATAGTGGGTTTTAGTTACACTCTTGCACCTCTGCCACATCTCTGTTTAAGAAAGAAAGGGAATTAGTTCAGTGAGCCTAACATCAACAATTTAAAGAAAAGTCCTGTAGCTCAGTGGTTAGAGCACTCGCTTTGCAAGCGAGAGACCTGAGTTCAATTCCAGGCAGGGCGAAACCTTGGGCAAGTTTCCTTACTCCACACAGAGCCTAATAATAATCCCTCCAAAACCAAAAACAATAATAAATTGGTCATTTTCAATCTACGACTGTTTGTGGACATTGCTGTGCGCAATTGGCTGCCGCGTTCGCCCACAAATATACAGTCAATTCACTTTACAGTGTGTTCTGTGAAGCGCTTTGGGACGTCCTCCCGACGTGAAAAGCGCTATATCAAATGCAAGGATTATTATTATTATTATTATTATTATTAAAGTATATAGGATTAAATTGATAATTCCTTCAAGAGACATGGGTTAAATAAAAACGGACAGCCTATGGATTTGTAAAAGGCAACCCGTGCTCAACAAATGTAATAGTTTTTGAGGAAATAACAGTATATTTTCACCCACAAATATACAGTCAATTCACTTTACAGTTTATTCTGTGAAGCGCTTTGAGACG